TGAAGACTGAAATGAATCAGTTCTATGACAGCCACAAAGATGCAGATGAAGTGATACCAGAGTTGGCAGACCTTGGCAAGGTAAGTCATTGCTGTGCTGTGCATGTGGAAGAAACCTGTTCTTTGTGTTGGCTTGGGGCTGATATGTCAAATACATGCATTAATCTTCAGGGGTTTTATTGCTGTGTAGCCAAGGAGGTAATGACATCTCTGTGGGTTGTGCTTTCTCACCTGTAAACTTCATAACTGCATAAGCTGCAAGGCTTGTACTTAACAGCAAAAATGTAGGGCTGTGCAGTGAGGACTGTTCTTCCCTCTAGGAAAGCTCAGAGTGTAACTGGTGCCATTCACAAGCTGCTGCTGTTGTGTTTTCTGGTCCAGGTTTATGTAGTTTTCTGCAAGGAACTCAAGTGCTGGTGCAGAGGTGTTATTGAGTCACTCCAGCTCCGCATGGATCGCTTTTGGGCCCCGTGTTTTCTTGTGGATTATGCCCAACACAGTTATGTTCCTGCAGAGAAGTATGTGTTGGTGTTTCTATCGCTGTACTATGCTTGTTAGTTAATGCATGCAGATGTGATTAATATTTATTCAGGTTCATGGTGACAAAGCTTTGGTTTAATTGAGGTGTGGGTTGGGTCCACAGGAAGCTGCTAAACAGATGACAGGCTCTTTCCAGCATGGGTGCAAACCAAGCCTTAGCTTGTGCATTTTTAGAGGTGCTTTCTGTTTTAGGGTTTGGGTTTTTCAGGGTTCAGAATAGATAGAATGTCAGCTTGTTGTGACTGAAATGTGTGATTGCTAGTTAACACTACTTACATATCCTTTGCTTCCTGTAGAGGACCCACACTGGAGCAGAGATGCTTCATAAGGCAAGAAAGTATTTAAACTTGCATAGATAACTGCCTTCTAACTGATAATGTATAGCCAACTAAAATGTCTTGGCTTCTGGGAATAAAGGAGGAGTGTGGATTTGGAAGTTAATTATTCCTGCTAAAAAGGTTTCTTCTTATGTAAGTGTTAGTGTGTCTGGAATATTTATTCTTTCATGATTAAGGGAAGCAAATTGGTTTGACCATGTGACTTTCTAATATATTTTCCCTGAGTATTGCTGCATTGGAGAAATGTATAACTTTTCCCTTTGTCATTCAGGCACTGAAGAGCAACTTAAAAGCTTCCATGAAAAGGCATGAAGAGAGCAAGTGCATTGCTGAGTGTGTCTTACAGTGCTGGAGAGAAATGCAGATTTCTGCCACTCCTGCTGTGCTAGGTCAGGATTCCCTTTGCCTAGCTGGGATTGTGTCTTCATGCTCAGCTGAGATTTATACTAAATACTTACACAAGGTTAGCTCATCACTTCCACAGGGACAGATCCCTAGGAACTCTTTCTAGTTGTCCATTTACTTCTTAGTGCTACAGCTGGTCGGTCTGTCTTTTCTTTTTTCCTGTTGTCCCTGCATTAGTTAGAAGAACTGCCAGTATTGCCAGAGAACAACCATTATTTCACAATTGAGGAGATTTTGAAATCATTTCCAAACTCCAACGATCTCTATATTTCCCATAAGTGGTATTCAGTCAGTAGAGGCTTAGAAGCACTTAGGCATAGCAGGGAACAGAGTATTACCTGGCAGCAGCTGGCAGTGAGTTCAGAGCAGTGAAAGCTGAGCGATGAAGAGGCTGCAGCAGGCAAAAGTCGGTTTTAGATCCTGGAGTGCTTGTCCTGGAAGGCTTGTTTTGTTTTCCCTGGGGTAGCAGAGTCACTAATGCTGCATTTCAAGCCGTGATGGTGACACCAGTGTGAGTAGCTTCGTCCCTGAAACTCCCTGTCAATGCCCAAAATGGCATGTTTCAGCTTTGAGGTAAAAAAAATAGCTTGAAGCAGGAAAAACCTTTACTGGCCTGGAAGCTAACTTATTTCTTACACCAACTCACTGATTAAAACTTTGAGTGGAACTATTAACTTCATGAGATCTCGCAGGATGGGAAGTCTCCAATATGAAGGCCACATAGTCTTGCAGCAGTAATTTGATTGCCAGCCAGTTACTGGTATGATGGTCCTGGGATGTTTTGGAAATGTCTGGTTTCTGTAGTACAGACAAGCATAAAAAATGTTTCTTGATGTTTTCTTTTCAGATGATGCAGCTGAAATGAAGGATACAGAAGACTCGACCCTGCATCAGCGTAAACAGTAAGAAAATTGAGTGTGATCTGTTCCCAGCTTGCTTTTATGTGAAGTGCCAAGCACTATTGTCTTAGTAGAGATTGATTTTATTTTAAAAAGAGAGATTTTGGTTGTTAATAGTGTGTCTCCCCACTGGACCTAGCAGATGTGCTCCCCCAGAGACTTGTGACTGCTGCTGGGTGTCAGGTCATTGTGGCTCAGTGTGTGGAACACAATGGGCAAGTTTTGGCTTTGTGTGAGAAAACTTAGCAAAACCTCAGTGGTTTTCTGTTTTGGAAAATCTCAACTTTGTTTTAGCTTCCATCCTGAGATCAAGTGGTTTCAAGATCAAGAGACTGTTGCAGTGAAGGTGAAAACAGTGAGTGCAACTGACACTAAATGTGAGTTCTCTAGAGAGAAGGTGGTTTTCAGGTAGGTTTAAGAAATGTAAGTATAATCAACAAAACTTTGGACAGACAGTTTGCATTTAATTTTTTTTAAACTTTCTGTATGTTGAAGTGCTTTTTCAGGAGGCAAACTTTACTTGGCTGACCTGGAGCTCCACCAGCCTGTACTTACAGAAAAGTCCAGCTGTGTGATAAAAGATGTGGAGGCTGTGATTGTTCTGGTAAAGGAGAAACAAGGAGCATGGTGCAAATTACTGAAAAACAAGGTGGAGTGAAAATTATTTTGAGAGCTATTGAATGTTCTGAACACACGTGCTGTGCATCAGTGCCTGTATTTGAAACAGTGGTTTTGTCAACAGAATATCCACGTGTCTTTGGATTTTGAGCACTGGGAAGAGTCTGAAGATGAAGAGCCTTTTCCACTTGGTGAGGACTGAACAAGTCGGTGTTTATAATGCATGAAATGATTAGTATCCTCATTTTTGCATCAGCCCTATCTGAAATACTCATACACCTGGCAGGTTGTTCAGACTCTCTGAACAGAGGGCAGAGGACCTCTACCTGCAAACTAGAGGCCGTGGAGTATTTATCTATCAGAATAGCACAGACAAGAGGCAGTTAGAAGTAGTTTTGAGTGTTTGAGTTTAGTTTGTAGTCTAAAGTGTGGGGGGTTGCTGGTTTGGGTCATTTGACACCAGCACATGTTGGTTCTGCAGCTGTTCTTTCTTGGTTTACCGATTTTAGACTGTTACTTCCAGGTGCTGCAAAACTGGGTTTACCTCCTGCAGAAACTGAGGAGTGGGTTGAGTCCTTGGAAGACCACAAAAAGTGATGAGTAGTTGGGAGGAGAAATAACCTTCTGCTTTGATGAGAATTGTTATTGTTACTTAAATAGTTGATGTCATTGTTGATTTGATTCTTGATGTTATGGTTGATTGTTGATGTAATTGTTATGTAATTGTTAATTAAAAGTGTTAGTGACCTTAGAACTTGTCGCCTTCACCTGAGTCCAGGTACTTGCAAAGCTGTGCTGTGTTGCAGTACGTAACAAAAGAGCTGACATACCTGTGTTTTGGTCTGGGTCTGCGTCGTGAGGCAAACAAGGCTGTCAAATCCCCTCACTGAGAACAGGAGCCTTGGGGGCAGATGTTTTCCTTTGCCTGTTTTGTGCCTCTTTGACTGTCTGCTATCTAAATACGACACAAGGAGGGTTTTTGCTGGTAAATGAATGTAAGAGCCGTAAGTGACTCCAATTCCGATCACCTTCCCCTCAGTATTCCGGTGGAATTACCCAGTTCATATGGTAATAATTTCCTTCTAATCAATGTTTCATATGTAGCTTTGCTCATTCATTCCTACTTGCCACGAAAGTGAAGAGACTACTGGGGGCATCTGTCTTTCAGGGTACTAGGAACAGATGAATGTTGTTGGCACTGTGCTGACAAAGGATGGTTTCATTAATTAACACTTACAAATCATTTGTTAAAGCTTATACAGTGCTTACTGTAGGCCTTAACAAGCAGCTGTTACACAGACCAGCCAGCCAACAAATTGCTTATAACTGCAAAAGCTCTTCTGTTGTGCTGAGACTACTACTCAGCCTTGCTATAAACCAAATTCTGCTGCCTAGTCCTGTGGAAATGGACTATTTTGTGCATCACCACCACAATGTTTCATATGAGTTTATTATATTTCTATTTTTCATGTTAACATATAACTTTCTGGTTTGGTCATGTGCATAGGATTGTTTGTGAGACTCTTCTGGGTTTCTTTGAAAGGAGAGATCGGTTGGCAGGTTACCTTGTGATATCTGGCAAAGCCTCAGTGTTCCAGGCTGAGGTACAGTGATGTGTGGTACACACTGCTCAGTGAGGTGCTGTTGGCACCTTCCTCATTAACTCTTTCTAGAAATGTACTCAGGGACTTCGATTTTGGTCACTAACAGCTGCACACACACACACAGAGTCTATCTAGACTAAGCCTTTTGGAACAGACACATGCCAAAATATGATACAATGCACATCAAAGCATAATATATATTCCTGTACATAAAGAGAGCACTCGCTGCATATCACACTTTGAGCATCTGAACAGAAAATAAATTAACAGAATATTTGTGTTTCAGGAAAAAAAAAAGCAGGAGATGTCTTAAGTCGCCATTCCCCGAGTGGGAGGGGTTACTCAGCAAGACTCTGTTAATAACCCAAGACATGGTTGTGGTCTTTTGTATAGGTCATTATGGGATCAGAAATTCACAAACGTATCTCTTGGCAGCACGACAGGCTTCGTCCCCCCACTTGCCTTGAGATGACAGAGAGAGAAAGACACAGTTCTCTCGCTTCCCCCTCTTAAGTCGCCATTCCCCGAGTGGGAGGGGTTACTCAGCAAGACTCTGTTAATAACCCAAGACATGGTTGTGGTCTTTTGTATAGGTCATTATGGGATCAGAAATTCACAAACGTATCTCTTGGCAGCACGACAGGCTTCGTCCCCCCACTTGCCTTGAGATGACAGAGAGAGAAAGACACAGTTCTCTCGCTTCCCCCCGCTTGGCTGGGCACGGTCCCAGTTGAAGTACTGTAGAGCCACACCATTGACATCAACGAATTTCCCTTCGTTTGCCATGTCATTCACCCCCAGCCAGAACTCGGATGCTCTGGGCGCACTTCTCTTGCCGTAATCTCGAAGGATGTTTGTTTCCTCGTTGTCCCTGGGGATAGCCAATGTCCCTCCCTTGGCTATGCAGTCCTCATTGGCTTCATGGAAATGTTTGGTGCCTTCTGATACGAGGTAGCACTTCTTACGGGCCTTTGTCCCACGCAGACACACTGTGGGTAAATAGGAGTTTGCATGTTCAGTGAAGGAGTGGTTATAGCTTTTGGTAATGTTTCTGCAAATGATAATTTTCTAACTGTTAAGCAGTTCAGTCCCTCAGAAAGTGAAAGGCTCTCGAGTCCACTCAGTGAGCCTGAAAGTAGCTGTAAGATCCAGCTCACCTTCTGGAGCTTCCTGTGGACCCTGCGTGCAGCCAGGGTGTTAGTGTGCCTTTGGGGGGCCTGGACAGGCTGCTGAAACATAACCCAGGCCTGTCCTCAGTATAGCTTTGTTTTCTTTTACCAACTAGTCCTGCCTTCACTCATTTTTAACCTTATTTATCAGTCTTGAAACTGGGGGAATGGATGAGGTATGGATGTCTGTCCTGTTGGCAGATGTGAAAAACTGATTCTCCCAAGACAAATACTTAAAGCAAGAGAACCTCCATGGAGTGTTCCCCCTGAGCTGAGGGAGGTAGCAAAGGCCATGAACAAACTCCTTGGACAATTATCTTTAGCATCCTGCATGACTGTTTGCAGATTGTTTCATTGTTTTGCTTAGGATCATCTTATGAACATCTTCTGTCCTGGTGTTTTCTGTAATCTAATTCCTGTCATCTGTTCCTGTAAGCAAGTAGTTCTGTCTCTGCTCAACAGGATATGGAAATCCACTTTGGACCATGTTCTGTGTCTCGGCTTTTAGTATTCCCAGTTGTAATAGTCACCACAGTCCTTAGCTGCATTTTCATGGTCATCATTTTATATTAGGGCTTAACCTTCAAATTTTAACCCTTCCAGCTGCTCATGGCCAAAGAGAAGTAAGTGACATATTTGTTAAATGTGTGTTTGTGAGAAAGGTCAGACGTGCTCTGCTGCAGAGGGCAGGGCTGGTCTGTGGGGGCAGAGTGTGTGCTGCAAGGTGGGGTGTGGCAGCATTTCACTCCTCACACTCTGTGGAATTTAAATTTTCCTTTAGGAAATCTAAGCAAAAGAAGAATTCAGATTTCACTGTGTGTTTTGGAAATGTCCATAAGCTGAAAAAGCATCTCCTTTTTCAGCTGTCATAAGGACATTGACACACACAGTCAGGGCTAGGGAGGTGGTAGGTCTGTTTTGGCCAGATTTGGAGTCCAGTTGAACAAAGTAGGTTATGAATTTAGAATGCAGCTCAAACTAAGTTTTGAGGATATAAAATCTGGCTCTGGTTTCATTTCAAAGCCACTGCAAGTTTACTCTCAAGCTCCTCCTGGAAGCAACTCAAGGATTGCTTTTAAACAGGAGTTGCTTGTCTAGCACAGGCTCCCTTTTTTAAAAAGCTTCTAAGAGCCTTCTCGTAAGACCTTTGAAATAAAAATATTTTGTGAAGCTCAAAAAGCACTATGTGACCCAAGACATAAAACTGGACAGCCCAGATATTACCATCCCGAAGGAAAATGTTCTGTTTTATGGGAATGGTGTAATTTCCTCCGCAGTGTCCTCCTGCACAGGTTTAAATGCCAAGCTTTGTGTCAGCAGCTGTGAGAAAACACAACTGTCTGGAAGGTGCATGTGTATTTACCCTTCTTATTTGTTTGGAAATTTCCATCTGGTGATTTAAATACTTAGAGGGCTCTGCACATTGGTGCAGGGTATTTCTGTACTCAGTGCATATAACTTTGGAGTTTATGGCAACATTTATGTTTGAATGTTGCAAACTGCACCTTTGAAACAGGCTCAGCCCTTCCAGCTTCCTTTTGGGGCTGTTCTCAGCCTTTTCCATGAATATTTTTGCCTTGCTAGTTAGCCCCTGTTCATTTTAGAACTGGGCACCTAATTCACTGACCCTCTAAACTCTCACACCCAGCAGCCCTCATTGTGGTGCCTTTGGTGAGACCAAAACTCCCAGCTTGAGGCTGTGCTCAGCAGAGACAAAAGCAGCTCTTGCTCCAGGTTGACTCCTGCTCCTAGTGAAGAGTCACCACTAGTTTGCCATTCGTTCAGCCTTGATTTGACTTGAGTGCTTCCTTCAGCACAGCTGTGCCATACCACGCTCTGAAGGAGCTGTGTTCCTCAGGCACAAAATCCCACTGGAGGGAGGGATGGGAACAAAGGGGGCAGGAGAGGCACTGACAGCAGAAGCTGCTTTACCTGTCTGAAGCGCTTGCATTTCTTTCAGAGCATTCACTTCTCGCCACAGTTTGTCAATCTGGGTCTTCAGGTCATCTTTTTCTTAAACAAAAGGTGCAGAAATTAACAGTTATGGACACACAAACAGTTATAAGCTGTTTCAAAGTGCCGTGGGTTGCTGCGTTGCTGAGATGTATTTTGACTCTGGGTTTGTATTGGCTCTGTCTGCTTTGCTGTGGGAATTGATGCTTCATCTTTCCCTGCTCATTCTTTTACATTAGTTTGACTTGCCCTTTCACAGCACTTTTCACACAGTAGAGTCGTATTCCTCAACTGTTAGACACACATTCTTTGATAATTAGGAAATAGTACAAAAATCTGAGCAATAATCCTTGGAGACCAAACACTTTATGCTGCTTTTTTCCACCCTATGTATATGAACTTCTATTTTTCTGGTCTTAGTATAACTAAGAAGGACCAGCCAGAAGTGAATAGCCATAACAGCAACATATTTACAGCTCCACTTCCGTAACGCATTCTGGCACCTTATTCTTGGCTTTGCTAACTTACACACAGATGTTTTAAAGGCAGATATCATATAGACTCGAATGCTCTTTGTTAGTAAGCATTTGTGTGATGTTGTTGGTTTCTGGTTCCTGCAGTGGTATTTAAAGCACACAGTGAATTTGCATAGTCTGTAAGCTTCTCCCCCTCCTCCTGTTAAGACCCAGTACCTTTCACTCTGCGTTTGCTGTGCTTCCTGGCTCTGGACTTGGAAGCCTGGCTGATGGTCTCATCCAGCAGTAGTAAGCTTATCAGCAGAAAAATCCTAAGTCCGGTTTGTGCCATGTCTCTTTTAAAGACTCTAATGAGGAACTTCAAGAGGTTCTCTCTAGCAGCTCTGAGAGCAGGTACAGAGCCACATCTCCGTGGGCACTGCCCGAGTCAGGGTTATAAAGTGGAGGGATGGGGTTGGCTGCTCTCCTTGCTGACGACATGTGTTGAATACTTGAGCTGGCTGTAGCATAAGCCACCCCCTTGTTCTCCCATCTCATCTGGAATTCCTCTTTCCATTTTGAGTCCAGCTGTGCCAGTACTGAACAGAGCACTGATTGCCACTCGTTCGCACCGTGTCTCCTGCTTTAACGCTGGAGCCAAAACCTGTGGAAAATCAGAGGGATGCTCCAAACCACCTGGTGCCATGCCAGCCCCAAGGAGGGGTAGCCAGAAGGTTTCCACAAGTGCCACAGACTCACCCAGGGCTCTGTCCCAGCCTGGCTCTGCCTTGGCAGTGGTCGTCGGATTACACCAAAACAAACCCAGTGTCACTCCCTGAGCCAATGCAAATACTGCAGAGCCACACTGAGCACAGATACATTAGGATCACCCGAGGTGAGGAGTGCATTTCTTCCTTTGTGTAGAGTTAAGAAATGCCTGAGAGTTAGGGCTGCATTTCTGATGCAGAACAGTCTGTGCAACCAGCAGGGTCTAGTCAGGGGGAAAAAGGTTCCAAAGGTTCTCAAGTCCTGACTATGGTCAGAGGAAGAGTAAAACACAGGATGCTTGAAGCAAAACAGTGTCTCTCTGAACTCTGGAGTGCTCTCTGCATTTGCATCTCTTTCCTTTGTCCTTTAACTCTGTGCAGTTTTCTGGGGCTGCCTTTAGTTGGGATTGCTATAGGAAGTAGAACCTCTCACTGATTGTGGTGGGCAAATGCAACTGTCACAAATATGTGCCCACCCACCACACTTCTCCCCCAGTAAGGGAGGGTTTGTCCAAGATGCTGACACCAAAGCCACCCCTGGGTGCTGGCAGGTGCTGTTCCAGGCATCCCTTTGCCTTGATCACATTCTGCTCACGGTGCTGGGGTCTTTTCAGACCTGCAACAGCAAGAGACATTGATTTATTGACTGAAAGCTGAGACTTAGGAACGTGCTGGTATCCCATCTGAATGCATACTGGCTTCTTCCAAGCCTCACACAGTCTGAGAGCAGCTCAGTACTTAAAACACTTCTGCCCTGCCTGTCCTGGACACCTTCACACAACTTGCTGTATTCTCATGGTCTGTAGCTAGTAACCATCTCTTAATCATTAGTTAATCTTTTGTGTTTTGAAAGCTTCCTCCTGTCCTTCAGTAGTGTCTCTGAGTATTTCACCATTGTGCAAGTAGCTCAGCTGGACTTCACTCCTAAGAGTAGATCACAGCACTGTCCTTGCAGCTGCTGGGATAGACCAAAGGATTTCAGGGCTTGTGTTCACCTAGAGTACCTGAGAAATGGTTTTCATACTTATGACTAATCTACAGCAACTGAGGAAGCAAGTTTAGCTTCCTGTACATATTGTGTGGGCAGGAGAGCCAGGGAAACATCAAAATACATTGCTGAGAAGATGTAACCTTCCAGTGCCACTGTGAGCAGGGAGTGGAGCCACACAGAGGCCTTGAGCCTCCCTGTCGTGGTCCCTGCTCTGTGCACGGGCTCCAAACCAGCATTACAATGTCATTTACAGGTGGAAGTTTTCTTTTACTAGTATGCTTGCAGTAATATAATATAGCCCAGGGAGTGAACACAATCACATACAGAGAGAAGTAGTTTTTCCTGGAACAAATTATCCCACTTTCCATACCAGAATGTGCTATACAAGTATAACTATTCTCACAGCTTTATAGCTGCCTCCAGGCTCAGATGGAGTTATTTTTTTATTTATACCAGTGCATACAGACAAAATCCTGGTTTCTCCTGAAGTGCTTAGTTCACTTCAAAGCACTCCTGAAGTTCTCTGTCTGATAAGAAACCTCTTGCAAAAGATAGCTGCTGCACTGGCCCCTGGGGTTTGGCTCCCATCTCCTCACCTCATTCCCTTTGCTTTCAGACAACTGGGCCATTCAGAGCAGAAGCATCCTTTGGTAAAAGGTTTATTTCAGTTCCTCCACAGAGACTCCTCAAGGTAAAGTTTCTGTTTCCTTCACAGACAGTTATACCTTTATATGATCCTGTAAACTGGCTCAGAAAAACTCTCCATACAGCTGTTTTTTCCTCTCCATCCTCAGCCATCCCTGGCTCTGTGGAAAGAACATGCAATGGGGCACAGAGTAGGAGAAGTCAGTGTGGGATAGGGACTGGATGCTAGGCTGAGCTCCTGACGTAGGTCTGGCTGCAGAAACACAGCAGTACTTGGACAGGATAGCTTTAAAGAGATTTGATGCTTCAGCCTGCTGGAAAACAACCTGCTCACGTGCTGCTGGTGGGTTGTCTGTGCTTTGCTGAGACCTGCACTGCCCTCGTACTTCAGAGCAAATTGTGCCCTGGGATGTTTGACCAAATGGGATCGAATGGGTGAGTTGTATCTGCTCCTCAAGTCAAAGCAAACTCTTGGGTTTTACAGATTTCAGTTGTGGAAAATTCAGCTCAGCTCCAGTATCTGGGAAAAAAAAAAGCCTTGTATGTGAGTAACTGTTGGTCCTTTCTACTCAGAGTACAATGAGAAGCTGAAGACTGCCCAGAGCTGGTGCCAGGCTCAGGAATTGCAACCTACGGAGCCAGCGTGGCCAAGAAAACATAACACAAAGGTCAGTGAAAGGTTTATCACCTCTGATATATCAGTTTGTATGACTCTCTTGGGTGGTAAATGGGATCCACTGGTTGATTTTTGTTTCAATGTAATGTAGCAAATTTTGCAAACTCTGCTAGTAATGGATTGTGTCGTGCTTGGAAAATTACTGTGTGCTTGGTTTCCTTGGCCTTGAAGAGTCTTTCAAAACCTTTCTTAAGGATTTGATCTCAGTCCAGCCAGGACTGTGGCTGGCATTCCAACACCAAGTTATTTTGGGGAGATTTGTACAAACAAACTGTGTTTGGGAAAGGGAAGGGCTCACCTTACGGCGTGTGAGGGTTTGTGAGACCTATTAATGATGTTTTGGGGGTTTGCCAGCAGTTCAAGTTTTTTTCCATCATGCTGATTTGGTATTTTGAAGGGAAATGTGCTGGCTACAAGTGATCTGCTCTGTCAGGTGAAGGAGGTTCAGATTTACTGCAGGACCAGGCTGGGCAGCGAGGACCTGCACTGAGTGTCACTGAGCTTTGAAATGAGGGAGTTCCTGTCTTTGTTAGATACATGATGCTGCTCTCCCTAGCACATGCCTCACCTTGGCACTGTGGCCCTGGCACTGGGATTGAGCCATCAATCTGTTTCTCAAGGTGGTACTTTCCAGTTCCAAACCAAGCTGTTATTCCCTACAGGTGTGGTACTTTTCACTTCCCATGCTGTAAGTACAAGCCTCAAAAAAAGAAAAGAAATTGGAGATACAAATAATCTGTGTGCACTGAAAAGATGAATCAGGGCAGTATTTTCAGCTCCTGGAATAAGTAAGTGGTTTTTGTATCTCTTGGTTTAGGGTCTTTGTCACCAAGCCTCTCACAGCTGGGGCTCAGGGAGCAGAGGGGAGGGGGAACGATTGGCAAGAGGCTGCAGGAAGATTTGTCTTACATCTGTCATACATATTTAAGGCAAATGTCATCATCTTGTCTATGTGACCAAACCATTTCACCTCTATTTCTTCATTCTCTGGTAATGGCAGTAAACATAGGTTGTAAAGCAGAGAAAATGCAGCTTATCAAAGCCAGAAGAGACTCAGAAGAGATTCACCAAATCTACACAAATCAAGGTTAGAAATTCACTGAGCCCTTCATTTGGTTACCTGATTGAGCTGCCTTCCTACAGGGTTCGGGTGTATCAAAGGAATGTCGGTGTTGCCAAAGTGTTTTTACTTCAGGCCTTCAGCTGCAAAAATAAGAAGGTGCCTAGTGTTTTTCTGACTGTCATTGCCTAGTCCTTTAGGCAGGAAGGACCCCAAAGAAATAGGTGTTTATGCAGAGTTTTCTGGCTGTGTGAGATGTGCACAGAGAGCAAACCATAATCCCCTCAGAACAGAGACCTTTTACAGACCAGCTGACTAAAGATAAGGGGGTTTAGGGGAAAAATTCAGAGCAGTTTCTTTGCAGTCCAGGTGCAATTAAAGAGGTGAATGGGGTCTTTTAAAATGCTACTCCTGTGGACTTGGCAAAGTTTCCATA